CTATCTGATGGCAGGATAACGCCAGGGGAGGGCCAGTGCCACCTGGCAAGGCTGGAGTGTATTCATCGATTGCCTAATAGTGAGTGAAGGACATCAGCTGAGGGCAGGGCTTTGCATTCTACTTTTGCGGCAGCCTTCAGCGGTCCTATCTGTTCTTTTGATTCGCAGAAGAATGCCGAGATCCTGTGATTCTTCCAACTGCTTGAGTGTCTCATTGAGTAATAATTTTAGCTTGCAGCTGCCTCCTCCATTAAGTGTTGCAGCTGCAGCACCAACACACACAGTAGAGTCGAGTGGCAGAAACAGAAACAGAAACACAAACGGCAACGGTGTTGTAATTAAGCCAAAGCGAATGCCTCAAGTGGCGCAGCGACCCAATAGGGCCAAAGCATCGTCGCCGTCATCGGTTGCGCCACCATCTCAGCCACAGCCTCAGCCTCAGTCTCACACCCTCTCTTTCGCGCTCTCTCTCTCTCTCTCTCTCTCTATGGCTCTCAAGGTCCACCACTGTCTGGCTGTCTGTCATTAAGTTTTTGGGGTCCGAGAGCTCTCGACAAATGAATGCCTAACGAGTGACAAGCAGCACAGGCAGAGGCAGGCATTCGGGCAGTCATCAGGCAAGATTTCAGCCGAAAAGTGCATGGCTCTTACAAATAGGTGACCCCGACACACACACACACACACACACACACACACACAACAATTGCAACATATCATCATGAACATCATCATCGTGATATGTATACATCATCTGCTTTGTCGTCATCATCATTAGGCCTGCGTCGCACAATCATATTTTCTTTTTTGGGCGCTTATCTCCGGCTGCCCCATCAGCAATTTTGAACTAATTGTCGACACCTAAGCCGCATCTGGTGGCTGGGAGCCCAAACATCCAAATATTTGGACCTGATTAAGCGCCGTGCTGCACAAAATTGTTTCGGAAGAGGTTTCCAGGGACCGCCCCCTCCACAGCCAAAGTCCAATCAAATGCTCTTGATTTTCATGCAACTCTTTCCTTGGGCATTTCCCCCATGTACAGTGCTGCACGAAAGCAGCGATTATCAATCTATCGAAATGTTTGTTTTTCTTCGAGTCAAAGCAACAAACAAAAATAGAAGAAAATTATTGTATCCATGATTATCGTTTGGCACTTTGTCCTACAGTTTTCGTCGCGCACTGTCTGCCGCAGCCATTTGTCATGACGCTTTGACGGTGGCAGCTTCCTCAATTTGCCCCTGCTTGTTGCACCATTAACCATTTCACAGAGATTGCCACACTGTTCCCCTTCCCCTTCCCCTTCCACTTCCCCACCAAACCTGTAGCATAAATCGCTTTAGCCCAACATGAAGCGCGCTCGCATAATTTTCAATATCGCGCCAATAAAGAGGCAGCCAAGACATGGGATAAAACGGCATGGCCGGGGCGGGGGTAGGGGATGATAAAAGGGTGAATAGAGGGACGAGGGGAAGGAGCCTGCCCGGGTTCTGGATGCTTGACAGGAATTATATTGGAAAATTGAAAAAGTAAATGTGAGCCCCCCCGACCCACCATTCATTGCAGCTATACAGATTGCCATTAGCACCTTGCCACACCTGCCCCGTGCCCCGTGCCGCGTTCCTCGTGCCATTGCCACATCTCTGGCTCCGCTCAGGTTGTAGATTTATGCGCCATATGTTAAGGGTTGTTGGAGGGGCAGGGGCCCCCCAACAGTGCCCGGGCAATATGCTAAAAATGTGTGTGTTTCCTCGCAATTTTTTCACGATTTTTCCGGCTGAGTCTTTTGCCACCACATTTGCCTTTGCTCCTTTGCTACTTGCTGCATGCCACATGATCATATTTTTCTCGTATTTTTTTGTACCCTCTCCTTCTCTCTGGTGTTTGCTGCTAAAAGCAATCAAAACTTTTTCATTTACAGCCGCCAAACGGAGCGGGGCTCCGTTCCAAATGGAATTCATTTACAATTTATATTTTATACATTTTTTACTTCACAGAAATCAAGGTGGCTGGGAGGGGGATTGCAAATGCATTAAAATTGAGTGAATCAACGGGATGAGACCTGAAGCGAGACAGATTTATATTCCTGCTCCAAAAGTGGAACTGAAAGAAGAACTTCTGCTAAGATCACAATTTTTGCGCTCATTCTGATTGAGGCATACAAAATATCTCTTAAAATCCTTTGGAAATACTCAGCTTATCCTTTATCTCCTACAAGATCCTCTTTTTATCTGCGTTACTTTGCACCACGAAATTAAATCAAAATCAAAATCAAAATCAAAATCAATGCATTGCTCGCTCGCTCGCTCCACCCTTACTTTGGTTGAATGACAACAACATCCCCGAGTGCCCTCAAGCTCTCAATCAAAGTTGCTCTCAATCGAGGCATTCCTCCTCAATATCTATGAGCAAAGTTTCCCCTGAAACTTGCCCTGGGGAGCCAGCCTCCTCTCTCTGCTCCTCTCATGTTCTAAAGCTGCAACAAATTTATGTTTTCCCATACCCTTTCAGTGCGGGGTACTTGCAGCAGATGTTTCTGCTGAAATTTGATAACAATTTGCTTATAGCTCTGCGAAATACGATTTAGGTAAGCGATCTTTGAGGGTATTGCAAGCTTCGTTTCGTACACTCTGCGTTTTTTTTTGCGCTTTACATGAAAGCCGCCCCCCGCCCTCGCTGCCCAGCAGTTCATGCTGCAATTTATGCGACCAGCCCGACAGTTGTGCAACCGCACAACCCAGCAGCATCCACCCCCACACACCACACACTGCTGGCAAAGCCCGCGGACTGCCAAACCAACTTCAAAATTCTCAATATAAACACATAAATCCTTTGGCCCTGCGAGCGAGCAGAGGGGATGTGCCACAAAGGGTGGCAGGGGGCTTGTCTGGCCAACAACAAACAACAACAACAACAACAAAAAGTAAAACTTGCTTCAGACATCCTCCATGGATGTCGAAGAGGAAGGAGTCTGGTCTGGTCTGGTCTGCCATTTGGGCGGTGGAAAGTGGCCGTTCAACAAAAATATTATTGGGGCGTCCTCCGTTTGCCCCTTGTGGGCGTGGCACCAGCAATAGCGAGCGTGGGAGAGAAAGCGGCGAGAGGAGATAGAAAAAAGTTACACCTTTTGGAGAACATTTTTTGTTCTCGTTGTTGTTTGGCTGCAACTTTTAGCGGGCGGAAAGGGGCAGGGAACTGCACTTGGGCACTTCTCGATGTTGGACAAAAGTTGAATTATTGCAACAGGGAGCCACAGGAGCCCAGGAGTGGGGGTGGGTGGCTGCCCTGCATTATGGATTCCCAGACAACAAGCTGTTTGCACTTATATGGCTTAAGGTCGCCTTCGAAGCGCCAAGAGCACGAAACCAGGAGACCCAGAAGTGGGAGAAGTTTCTTGTGGGGGAGTTCAACTAAAGATAGTTGGAGCTCTAGATATCCAGTTACTACAAACTGAATGATGTATGAAGTGGCTGGGGGAGCAGTGCCGCCGACTCTCTGCGCTCTCTACGGCAGCGATCAAGTCAAGTGCAGCACTGGGTAATGCAGCAGCGCCACTCGGTTGTTGTTGCCCGACTATAACTCCATGGCGTAACAGTAAGAGTTTGACTTAGAGTCGCAGTTAGAGTGGTTTGGTTGGACAACTAAAAATGTAGCTAACCATCAGCATTGATTGTCTGACAGTTTTGAGGCTTATTTGGAAGGTCGTTTACCACCTGCAGATATTCGTCACTCACTCTCGTTAATCTTGTTGGCCTGTGGATGCTGTGTGCGGAGAGACAACCATTAGTTGGGGGCCGCTGGGCCCTAAAATAACTATATCGATGTGCATTTGTCCAGCTCTGCAACTGCCGTGGCCACTGGCACAGTCTGTGGCGGCACTAAATCAATGTTGGGGATTGTGTCTGCCCATTGAGTGCGGCCCCGCTGCGAGGCAGTGGCCGGCGGCAGGCACACCGCAACGCGTTTCGCAATCCAACCAGAAAACACCCAAAAACGAAAATGCTTAGACAGGGGAAAGGGCTTGTGTGTTGCCCCTGTGTGTTGCAGGAGGCAGCCAAATGCCGCTAGTGTTGTAATTGAAAGGGTCCCGCCCAGAGCCAACTCCAGCGCTAATTAGATGACATCGAACGCCACCTGAATGTAGCAGGATGTAGGCAGGCTGGCAGGCCGAAACGGAAATGGAGAGAAAGAGAGAGAGAGAGAGAGAGAGAGAGAGAGAGAGAGAAAAACAACACTTCAATATGGAGTTGAGTTCAGTTTGCCCTTCCTGCCTTTGTCCATTTAATGGTTCAGCGCCTCTTTCGTCCCGTGTCCACTGGCACGTCATGGACGGTGATGCACTGGGGGGAGGGGGAACGCGGATCGTCTTTAAAAATGCACATAATTAAAATTTATGAAGACATCCCGCTGCCCCTGGGGGGGAGGGGAGAGGTCACAGGACAGGGGACAATCAAATTAAATACCTGTAAAGGCAGACCAGGAGAGGGAGAAGGCGGCGTGGGGGCCACCGGAGGTGGCCTGAACACCGAACTGGAATGAAATTGTAATGGCAATTCGGACAGAAAGGACAACAGAAAAAATAAAGGAAACGAAACCAAAGCAAAGCAAAGCAAAGGAAAGGAAAGAAAAACAGACAGGCAGAGCGAGAGCGAGAGCGAAAGAGAAATGGGAAAGAGGAGAAACTAAATTACCAGAGGGCTACCATGGGACAAAGTTTGTTTTCTTCTAACAAAAATGAAGACGATCCTAATCAATATGGATCCATGATTCCTTTAAGCCTTTATCCCTGCTCCATTTTAAAGATCATAAAATATCATCCAAATTCTATCTTTCTTTTTATGGCTAACAAATTTGAGATGATTAACAAATGAACGCGTGGAAACTGCGCCCAAAACTTCGTGCCAATGCCATGGTGCAAGACCAGCGAGTGCCCCCGCACAAGGTCAAAGTAATTACAAGCAAACAAAGTTTGAGGCATGCTGCAGGGGGCAGCTAGATGGGGCAAAGGAGAGCCAAAGTGTGACCAGCAACAGACAGAACAAGATGGAAGATGGCCATTGCCGCGGAAACCCTATTAAGATGTGCGCCGTCCATTAAATCGAAGTGTATTAAGTGCGACAAAAGCAAAAAGGCGGCCACAGGGCACAGCTCACACAGTTTCAGTGGCCTCTTTCCTTTCTTCGCTCCTGCTGCTGCTGCTGCTGTTTCTGGGCCAAACGGGCGCGTCTGCACTCCTGCCAGCGTTCCTTCATCTCGTTCTTAATCAGCAACATTTGATGGCAGGCCCCGATCAGTGGATGGATCTCATCGTGATCCCTGCGACGTTGATCAAGCTCCAGCTGCAGTTTCTGCTCCTGTCCACCACTCAAGCGGGGCAACATCTCACAGGAAACTGTTTGTGTGGGCTGGGACGCTTTCAGCGGTTTCAATTTAGGCATTTTCTCAAACAGCAGCAGATAAGCTTGCGGATCATCTGCCGCGGACTTGCCCACAACTAAACTTTGCAGCCATTGCAGAAACTTCCCCAGTGGTCCATGCTCTGGCTGTGGCTGTGGCCGCTGCAATTTCCGCTGCACATAAAGATCCATAAAGAAGTGGATCAGCTCAATGGTGACCTGGGTGTTGCCTTTCTGCAATTGCTGGACACGCAGCTCCAGCGGAATGCCCAGGCGTTTGAGAGCCCGCCGCAAGATGTCATAATTACGCCTCAGCTTGGCCGGCGGACCCGCATCCCGCACAGACTCCACATTGAAGGTGTTTGGGTGAATGCAGTGCAGGAGCCGGCACCAGGCGGCACCGCCACTCAGCTCCGGCATGGAGCGGTAGTCGCTGTGCAGCATGACGTTGATCCATTTCAGCAGCTGCTTTGGATTCTTGGGATGTCCATGGGTTCCTGAAGGGCAGAAACGAGGAGATAGCGGTGGCCCTTTTCTTACCACAGAGCAGCGCTGTCTTACCTGGCATTTCGAAAGTGTGTTTTAGTTGTATTTCCTTGGGAACTGTTTTTGGTATTGAAGTCAAATGTTGCTGGGGATTGCTGAGGTTCCTTGGGTAAGTCTTTGTATGCTTACAAACTACCGCAGGATCGCCGGTTTCCATTCAATATGTAAAGCTTCCCTTAATTTGAGTTCCCGGCTCTTCAAGCCCATTGGCCCATTATGTGCCACCATTCAGAAGGGGCACAACCCATGCCATAAATAACTGGAGCTTAAAGCATTATAAACCGCATCTGCATTGCGATGGAGGGGGGGGGGGGTTGCAACCTGCTGAGTCCTGCATTCACCCACTCGTTCCACTTTTAAGCCTGGGAAATCATTTAAATTTTTCCTCATTGCATCTCCCACTTTTTTTCACGCGCGAGCTTTTCGTCAAAAAATAAAGTTGGGCCTCGCCTCGCCCCGCCCATGCATTTATGCATGCGAATGAGTTTTGCAGTGCGGAAATGTTCACTGCTGTTGTGTGTGGCACGAGGCAGGAGGCAGGAGGCAGAAGCTGAGCCGTTCTCGGGAGCTGCAGTGGGGCGTGCAGTGAGGCTTGGTGGCGATGCAAAACAAAAAAAAACAAACGAGAGAAAATGGCAAACAATGAAATGCATTGAAAATTGAAAATCAATGAACTGTTATAATAACTTGCCGCAGAGTCAGAAGCGAGCATCCAGCATCCACACATCTATCTGCGGCACACACACACACACACACACACACACACACACAGAGAGAGAGAGTGAGGCTGCGAAGGCATTCGAATGCAAAGGCAAACTTCAACCTCAAAAAACCCAGAAAACTGCACTGCAAGAAAAAAGAGTTGAAGTCCAAAAGGAATGGAAGGACTACCTCCGAAAGAAACCTACAGCTGGAGGTGTTTTCCCGGTCATTCGAGTATTTTTCCTGCCCATTAAGCACACTTTTCATTTATGCAATCCCCCAAATTCACCTTCAACAGATTCTGACAATTTTTGTAGTCAAGATAATTCCAATAAAACAATTGCGACATTCCCCATTTCTTTCTCTGTAGCATGCCCAGTGCCGCTGCCTTTATCCGTTTGCTCCTGGTCCGCACTAGCAACTCGTGCGTGCGGTTCTCTCTCTTCATTAAACATATGTAACGCGTTGGGTTAACAATCGTTGCAAGATGGCACAGGGCGGACAGAGAGAGAGAGAGAGAGAGACACCAGTGGCCGGGTGCCGCGTACCGCGTACCGGGAACCGGGGACCACGCGTCAACTTGGAGTCGGATGCAGCGATTAAAAATTAAATGCCGTCGTATTAACAAACAGCCATTCCCCACCGCTGCTGTCTGGTGTTCTTTTTTCACTCCTTTTTGGGAAGCTGAAAAAATGGGAATGGGAATGGGAGAAGAACAGAAGAACAGAGGGCAAAAAAATGTGAAGAAAATAAAAGCTGAGCAGCCACACGGACAATGGCTGATGGAGTGGCTTGTGGGTGGCAGGGCGGACACTGGACAGAGTGGGGGAAATCCTTTGGTGCATGTAAAATGCATGAATCGCATGGGCGCCACGTGTGAAATTTATGCACATATGTTGACAGCACTTAAAGAGCAGAAACCTCGCCAGAAAAGAGCTACCAAAGATCTAGCCGGAACAAAAAATATCAAATGGCCTTAAGAGTGGATGTCGGACCTTCACTTCAATCTACAGCTGCTAATGCGGTGCGTATCAATTCGCGAATCAATTAGCATTGGCCAAAACTGGCTAATCATTCAATCACCATGACCCAAAGGGCCATCATTGGCCGCCCAGTCACGGTGCTGGAGCCACAAGAGCCAAATAATAATGAATAATTAACGCATAGACAACGAGGGACGCAGATACTCGTAGGTTGTGTGGGGCTCTAATGTGGGTCAGTAGAAAATCTAGCCCCCTGCACCCTCCTTCATTAGCAACATCAATTTTCCTGCATTTTACTCGCACTGCCTTAACAAGCCCAAAGTCTGAGGTAGCTCTCCTTCAGCATGGGGCAGCAACTTTGATTGTTTGCACAGCCATTACCGGGCTCTGGTGTGGTGGTTGTTTTTTGGGTCCTTTTTCCTTACTTCATTTTGACATCAATTTGTGCTTTAACTTGGAATTTGAGTTGACAGTTCATCGGGTGGACCCGGGAGGACTCTATTACACTGAGTGGACTCCTGTCCGGCCGTAACTAGGTCTCTCCATTTGGTTCAATTAGCAGGCGCTGCTTGTGCTCATCGACCAGTCGACTAATTGGCAACTCCGCACCAAGGCCAGGCTGACTCTTTTGATGCCCTTTGATGGTGGAGCTCCCATAGAATATATATTCTTGATCAATAGGATCAGTGGCATCTCTTTATTTATATTTATATATTTACTGTTTTGGAACACTTCAATATTCACCTCCAAGCGACACTCTTCTTGTGTGGCCAATTGCCAATCACTTTCAATCAGCCACGAGCGATTCGGCTGTGAATCAGGGCTAAAACTAGCTACACGAGCATGCACCTCCCCACTAACCTCTGCACTTCAAAGACAGAAAGGACATCCTGTGTCCGTGCCGTGAGGATTCTTTGCATTCTGCTTTGCATTTCCTGTGGCACTGTCTGCGGTCAAATGGACACGGGACTCTCCAGTCTCTCTGTCGCTTCGTGTCCTGCATACAAATGTGTGTTTCTCTCCCTCTGCCACTTTTGGGTCCCTTTGCTCGCCTGCCACTCTCCTGCGCACCTGCAGCTGGAGACGTTGCCTCGTTCTGGAAAATAAAATGCAAACAATGCTTGTTTCATTTGCGTAATAAAATATTTATACAGGTATTTAGTTGGTCGCGAAAAAACGAGCAGAGCAAATGAAACAGGAAGAGCCGGAGCCAGCGGAGATGTGGCACAAGCAGGACCCAGGGAGATGTGCCAGGAGCAGCAACCAGAGAGATGTGGCAGAAACGGAGCCTGAAATGTGGCAGAAGCAGCCACAGGAGTAAGATGTGCCAGGAATGGCTGGGGCAAAAATTTAAGCCGGATTTCTTTAAAGCTTAAATTCAAGTCCAAGAAATTCAACACTTTATATTTATAATTTTTATTTTTAAAATTTAGTTTTAAATTTAGTTCCTCCAGCTTCCAGCTTGCGCAATGAAGGAATTACAATGTGCAAATGCCTAAAATCAAATGAATAGAATGGGAGAGAGAGAAAGCGGAAAACAAAAAACGTCTAGACATCATTTCTCAGTGGGGTCGGACTCATCCTGTGAGTCCCTCCGCTGCCTGGACAACCAGGATAAATCTGCGCGTATTTTTTGCTGCGATTTGCCATAGCTCATAAGGGCCAGAGACTCTAAGAGAAAGACAGAGAAATTGCACTCATTTATCATGTGGTGGGAGCCGGGCTTAACCGCCAGCCCACCATATTCCAGTCAACAGTGCCGCCCCAAGAGGACACTGCAGCGGGGTGGCCGATGCTCCCGATCCCTGATTCTGTTTCGGCTGCCGATTCGGTTCAAATTCGACTTGCTAAAAAGTTCTCTGCTGCAAACAAATTAAAGTAAACATTGGTGTTGGCACAGCTGCACAATGCCCGTGTGTACCTTACACTCTCTCTTCCTTACTCTCTTTCTCTCTCTCCTCTGACCACTCAGCCAACGGGCAGACTCTGCACTGCAAGCGCATTAGACAGCGAGCTTGCATTGCTTGTAACACGCATGAGTGAGAGAGCAATATCGGCGTATACGAAAAAGTCCCGTAGCCTAGCCGTTTGTGTGGGTGTGTAAAGCCACTCGCGGCGCGCGTCGCTCACGCGACCCTTTTGAGAGGGTAAAATTCTAAAAATAGAAAGCAGGTAGATAGGCACAGCCACCAAGTTAACGACGAACCATTTTTGGCTTGATTCATCATGTTACACACACTATTGAAATAATAGTGGAATATGAGCAACTCAGATTTTACTGGAAATTTAATCAACATATTCATGCGCATATCAAATTAATGTTGTGTTCGACGCAAACAATTAAATGTTGCACGAAAACAAATGCATACGTTTTTAAAAGATACAATTATGAAGTTTAGCCGATATTTAAACATTTTTATAGTATGTTTTTAGATGGTCTTAGAAAGACTTTGTGGACGAACTTCAACTCAAGTCTCTCAAGCTGCAGTAGAAGAAAACATGACTAAGAAATGCCAAACAAATGAAAGAACATTTGTTTAATTGAATATTTTAATTGAATAATGAATTCACATTCAAAGTACGTGAAATTAGATCGGAAAAGGTTAAATTAGTTATTTTTCAATCAATTGCGTTCTTATATCCGGATGTAGATTGTGTAGATGACATATGTAGAAAAAATGTCAAATGTATAATTCGAAAATAAAACAATAAGGTACAGATATTCTGACTGAGTACCGGATATAAAAGTCGTGACGCGTAAGAAGCGTCTCACCGCGGTGGACCACTTCGACATGTGCATGAAGCAATTTTATAACCAGGTGCTGTCGAGTGGCTTTGCACGCGTGCGTGCATGAAGAAACTATATAAGGAGGTCTCGTCCGCCAAAATGAGCAAAAGTGCGAGTGAAAAGTGCAAGTGAAAGGGCTCTCGCTGTAGGTGTGAATGAAACGAAACCATCGTGTGATGGATTAACCCTATGATGGCATGGCGGTTAAAGTTGCCCTTTACGAGCGAATGATTTTAAGTTATTTGTTTTTTAATTTGATTTTTTAATAATCTACTACTTGAAAGTAGTCGTTATTTGGCTTTTTAGTGGATTTTATTTTGTTTAGCCTATTAATTCCAAGAAAACATAAAATTGCATTGGCAAATATCGAAAAGTCAGTTTCACTCGCAATTGCAAACAGCCTAGTTAGTAGATCTCTTTTGCCGACGGCACCTCTATATATATTAGCTTCATGGACATGTGTGGGAATTGTTCTCATCCATAGACTAGTGACAACAAGAAAGTTGTAAACTAAGCTTACATACATTAATATGTACCGATGTATCGGTTCAGTAGGAATGCCCATATATTGGTACTGCCAGACGGCAGCAACGACAACTTGATTGAACAAAAATAATTTTCGAATTAATTGAAGGTGAAGGTAACTAAATTACACATTCATCAGATAATATTACAATTTTTCAAAGAAAACCAAGACTATCGATAGTAACTCGTGACTCAATTCGCAGGTGCACCAGTCCCCTTGCCCAAAAGTCCATCAACGTGGCAACCCTGTCAATGCCGTTCAAAAAGCGCACATTTTTTTTTTTGCTTTTTGCTTTGTGAGTGCCAGATCCCAGATCCCAGGTAAAATACACAAATTTAAATCGCTTCGCTGATCCTGGTTTATTTATGTATTCATTTATTGCTATTTGCAGCCAATCAGACTTCATATCAATGATGGATGAGCCCAAAAATGAGGTAATGCTGGACCAGAAGCTGCGCCGCTTGCCCATGGGCAATGTGGCCGGCCGCGAGGAAAAATTGAAAATACTTATAACCAATGTATGTGCAAGTGTGTGTTGTTTCCGAGTGGCATATTTATGTTTATGTACCATCCTTTAACAGGTGTTCAGCCCACTTCAGTTTTGGTTCCAGTTCGTTGAAAGCAACAACAAATACAATCTGGAGGGACTGCACAGCAAGATGAGGTAAGTTGTCGTTGTGTATTCCCAGTCCTCGACAGCACAACCACATTAGATATATGTACCTCTGTTCATAGTGAGTTCTATGCCTGGCACCAGGCCCCAATAATTCCTGGGACCCTACTGCCTGGATCCATTTGTGCCGCCGCCTCAAAGTGGGTCGGCTGGCGGCGGGTGCGCATTCTTTCTGAGTCGCCGGACAATGCAACGCACGTTTCCGTGTTCTACTTGGACTATGGCTGTGAGGAGAATATCGCATGCAAAGATCTAAGATTCTTGCCAAAAATGTTCACCGATGTACCGGCCATGGCCGTTCGGGGCGCACTTTCGCGTGTCCATCCGCTGGAGTACATGTGGCCGGGCGAGGCATCGATGATGTTCCGTCAGAAAGTGATGTTCGGTGTGGCGTATGCCCAAGTAATTGAGGAGGATCTGCAGGAGGCCATTTACTATATGGAAGTTTACCGAACCAAGAAGCCTGGAGCTCTGTCAGTGAACAGTCTTATGATTCAGAACAAGCTGGCGGTTAATGGGGCAGAGTTACAGTTTTCAAACCACTGTGAGCGCCGCCTTTGCTACGTTCAGGAGCGTCTGCCCTCGTATGTATTCCCTTTGAGACTCATTTGAAATGGCTTTCTATCCCTCCCTCCCTCACTCCCTCTCTCTGACTCTGCTGTAGCTTTGAAATGCTCGAGACTGGTGCGTTTCCCATGGATGCGGATCGGGAGTTTCAGAAACATTTTAGAGGAATCGTCTGCACAGCATCATTCGTCATGGAATTTAAGGTTCCCCATACCACGAACCCCTTTCTGCAGGACCTGACACAGGCGCTGCTTGATTGGATGATTGGCTTTAAGAAGAAGCAAATTGAGCAGATTACCCCCCAATGGGGCGCAATGGAGTTGGAGTACGAGTTGGAGAACGAGCTGGAGCGAGACCTGATAGAGTGGGACAACGATCAAGAGGAGGCGCAGATGGTCAAAAAGAACGAGGAACCAGAGCAGGCCAACGATCAAGAGGCGCTGCAGAAGGAACTGCAGGAGTTAAAGGAGCTTATGGAGCTGCATAAATTTACGGAGCAAGAGGAGCTGCAGGAGAAGTACCTGCAGGACATAAAAGAGAATCCAGAGCAGGCCAACGATCAAGAGACGCTGCAGATGGTCAAGAAGAAAGAGGAACCAGAGCAGCAGGCAAAGGAGTACGGGAAGATGTTTGAGGACATGTATAAGGAAATGTATAATGAGTTTTCTAAGGTGCACAAGTAGCCGGAGTAGGATCAAGAGACAATTGTGGATTCCGTCATACAATTTATGCAGCAAAAATCCAATATAAATATAAACAAATAAATATAATTCTCTCAGCTATCTTTGGGTATCTAGAGTTTCTGTTCTGCATCTTCATTATACCCGGTACTCGAAGAGTCAATAGGGAATGTTGTATTTGTGGGGAGAAGAGAATGAGCAGGACACTTTTCCGATCCCATAAAGTATTTATATATTCCTGATCGATGTAGCCATATGTATCTGTCCGTCCGTCTGTCCATCTTGTTTGTCGGCTAGTTTTCAGAGACTATAATAGCTAGAGCCACCAAAATGTTCCACTAGACTGCTGCATGCTCACACTGTTACAAGTGGATTTAAAACCTTCCGCCAATTTGTTTGGCCACCAGAACACTTCAATTTCCGGGTGTAACACTATACGGAGATGTCTGCGAGCTGGACATTGATTGTTTGTGCATCATCATCATCATCTTGGCTATTGCTCACGTTGCATCGACGACTTCTACGTGCTTTATCGCCCAGACGCTTATTAATCTGCAGCGCCTGCTCTGCTCCATTGTTGTGGCTGCTGCATCTTCGTGACCTCCTGTTTAGCCCTGTCTCTCTCCTAATATTTGAACACGTTTTTCTTTGCAAACTAAACCCAAGACACAACGGAAATTCCACAACCCAGAGTAAAGCTTTGCATAATTTTGTCGACATTCCATACCGACTATTTAGATAGCAGCAGTGCGGAAACAAAACTAAACAAATAAAGCACCGAAAATTAAAAGAAAATAGCTACAAGTTAGAGACGAAATGAGGAGTTGAGAAGCTTCACACAGGAAATCGTGTCAAGAATGCGAACTGTCTGGTTGCCAACTCACGTGGCATCAGTGGTACCAGTTTAAGGTATGGAAAGATAAATTTCAATTTCCCATTTGCTATTAAATGCGCTTAGAGGTTGTCTTCCAGCGAGTCTCGTGCCATAATTAATTCAAATGCATTCGATCCTTATAAGATTTCCCCATCTGCCATTTGTTTGTGCATTCATGGCGGACTTCTAGTGCCGTTTAAGAATGCATTGGACTTGGTTTCGGCTTGTTGCATTGCGAGTGCAATGCCAGGGCAGACCTCAGGCATGCTGCAAGCGCGGAAAAGCCTCATGCGGCAAAACGCGTATGACATACACCAATGGCTTGCCGGCCGTTTGTGGCCTGTGGCCATAATCCTAACTAGCCGTGGCACACAAAAAGCCCATTTTAATGTGCGGTCAACAGTCGGGGGCAATGTCTAAATTCGAAATGTCAGAGTTGTCAGCATTGTCAGCGTTGTCGGCGTTGTCGGCGCTGTCAGCGGCAAACGACACTGCACCGACGGCGACAACAATGACAACGAAAATGGCTGGCTGTTGTTGTGGCCCCTGCCACTGCTGTTGCTACTGCTGTTGACAACAATTAGAGTTGTACACAAATAATACATAATAATAATTACGCAAAAGCTTTCAAACACCGCCACTGACTCGTTTTTTTTTTGTTTTTTTTTATCCCCTCCACCACGGGGTCAGGCCATGAGTAGGCTTAAATGCCACCAAAGGCACCAACTGACAGTGCCAGTGCCAGTGGCCCAAAAGGGCAGGGACCTTGACCCACTGAGAGCTCTTCTAAGTGCCACTGCCACACTTATTGTGGCTTGAAGAACGTACAAACTGAAGCACAAAAAGTTGAATTTTAAATTTCATTTCCACTGGCGTTTTCTGTCTAAAGTTTTGCCATAAATTGAAACCTTAAATCGTATTGCAGACTCTGGATAAATGCTGCTTTAAAACCACTTTGGATAAGGATACTCTGGCATTGGCACTCGCAGTCGCAGTCGCAGTCGCACTGGTACTGGCTTCACTTACACACATATCTCAACCATTCCATCTCCTTCTTGGCAGTCGCGGCATCCTCCAAGTTTCGGCTTAAAGACAATAAGTTTGGGGGGAGGTGCTGCTGCTAACCCCGAAAAATTGTCAACGCGAATTACTGGCACATTTTCGTAAGCGATGGGGCATGGGGCATGGGGCAGAGAGGAGATGCGATAAAAGTGGGCATGGTGGGGGGCATGGAGGAGTGGCGGCATTGATAGTAATTGCAAGCAGCATGCACAATTGCAGCGGGGAGCGAGAGAACGAGAACGAGAACGAGTCGCGTAATAAATCCATAATCCGAGGCGACAATTTGAATCATGGCGCTGTAAATGCGTTGCATTTGTGGGAGGGCACTCCCAGTGGCAAGGGCACAGCTACAACAGTGGCAGGGTTCACTAGCAGTGTGGCAGCGTGGCAGCGTGGCAGTGGCAGGGTCGCAGCTGCAGGCATTCAAGCGGCAACGACAAGACAAGACAGTTGCAGTCTCTGGCTCGGGAGCTTCGCATCGCTTTTCTCTCTCTCTCTCTCTTTTTTTTTTTCTTTTGGTATGCTTCCCTTTTGTTTTATTGCATTTCACTTTGTCTGTCTCGGGCTCTGACGCCAAACCCATTTCATTCTCATTCTCATACCCCCCTTGGATTGTAGCATGTGAAAATTGCATTTTATGCTCCTTCGCCTCCAATCCCTAAGAACTGCGAAACCCCACACAACCCCTCCCCACACCATCCGATTACTGTCTCTCTCCCTCACTGTCTCCTCTCTTTCTGTTTGTCTTTTCCTCAGCAGTTAAAATAATCATAATAAAACAAGTGCGAAAGCCAGGGGAGAGATTCCGACTAGCAGATACCCGGAATCCACAGAGACCAGCCATGGCATAGAACTTTTGCATATTCGGGGATATAATAGGGGGATATTAAAGCCCACAGAATTATCTATGTGGGATATGGAAGGAACTCAGGCTTGCTGGGAGGGAACTTCAGTAGAGAGATGCAGAAGTCCCACATCCGAGTATACCCTTCTCGAGTACTATTTACCTCATGTCGAGGGTATTAAAAAACAAAATCCAGGCGCACAAATGCGCCTCCTTGGCGCACCAAATCCCCAAGAAGGAATGTCAACATTTGCCAGCCAAGTGCACTTGGCCAAAAGAGGGTCAGATGGCGGAGGAGGAGCAGCAGACTGTCCTGGGACTGGTACTGGTACGGGTACTGGTGCTGGTACTGAAACTTGGCTGTCGGCTTAGTCGCAGTTATCTTGATCACAGCTAAACAATCGATTCAATTTGCCCTTAATGAAGTCCTGGACGTGAACGTAGACGTGGCCCAGGCTTTGGCCCTCAACGTTTGTTCGATTTATTGGCAGCAGATTGGATGGCAGCCAAACAGCAGCAAAACACACACCGGAAAAAAAGGAAAAGGATATACAGGAGAGGACCCAAGCGGCTCGTAAGGTGAAATAAAGTCCAACATTTGCTCTGATTTACATTTCTCAGTGGGCCGCACACACACACACACACACACACACACACACACACACACGTATTTAATTAATGCTGCTCCAGAAATTAGTTGCAACAATTTTGGCAAACATTTGCCGCTTCATGTTCGGCACAGAATGTTGTCCCCACTTCCTCCCTGAACCGATTGACATATCGTGCGAATGGCCATTGAACTCTGAACCGAATTGGAGACCAGAAATGGTTCGGGGTATGGGGCGGGCAGCTGGCCAAAGGTAATCACACCAGGCCACAACGCATGACTGACAGCCACATGACATGAGTTATTCAAGGCTCCGCTCCGCCCCGAACTGGACATGGACATGAACATGGAACATGGAACATGGACGACATTGGGCCACTGTGCCTGTTCTGCCATTAAGCAGCTGTGTATGTGTGTGTGTGTGTGTGTGTGTGTGTGTTTGGGCAGGGCCGTATAATTAGCTCGATTCCGGCTTACAGATGAAGTGAAGTGAAGTGAAGTGGAGATCCTATGTCGTACCTCATTCAATGTCTGGCTTGGGGGCTGGGCCACCGCCACTTGCTGGAATTTCAATATGCCAGAGTCCACTGTCCACAGTCCGCTGTCCGCTGTCTTTATGGCATATAATTTGGGACAAGTGTCGGACTGGCTCCACTCTTAATCTGCTGTACATGAAGGATACCTTCAGAGTGCTGTAGCTTCGTGAGCAGCTTTAAGTGCCAAATGGCGTAAGTTAAAGCATGTACATAATATCCATTATCCTGCAGCACAAACCCCGAGCTCGTTACTCTTTCTACTTTTCTCTCGACTTTGCCGTGTGTGTGTGTGTGTGTTTGCCAAAATCAAGCCGCAGCCCGACTGACTATTTTGCATACGCAAATACAAGTAAATAAATTGAAATTCGTCAGAGAACGGCCCTGCCTTTCAGCTCGTCAGCTCCCCACAGCTCCCCACAGCTCCCTGTGCATACAACACGCATGTAAATCGCCGTCTTACAACAAAAATGCCACCTGTAAGAACTGTCAGGGGGCTGTGTGGGGGAGCTGTGGGGCGTGCCTCTGTCTGGGTGGGTAGTTTCCAAAGCTTAAACGCAAATTTGCCTTTCTATCTTTTCCCTTGTGCTACCTACCCCCTGTCGTGCGAGTGTTGCAGACACCTTCAAAAAACGAGACTCGTTTCTGTGTTTAGCTTCTGGTTGTCGAGGGTATCCTTCAGCTCATACTCACAGCACCCGGGGCAACCTATTGGCAATTGTTATCCCACACTCTTACACTTTTTGAATATTTTCCGTATATTTTGCATTTCGTTTCGTTTTATTGGCAATACAGAGGCGAGGCAGCCGTGTGCCAAATCGATGGCTGCCTCTCAAGATGGTCCTGGCAGCGCATCGCTCTCTAATGAGCGCCCCGCCCAGCCCCAGCCTCAGCCTCAGCCACAGTCCTGCCAACTAGTCGCGCGGCCATACAAATGGTTAAAGTGTTTAATCAACCCAAGCCCTTGAGCCAACTGTGTGGGCCTGTGGTCGTCCAACGCTCAGTGAAATGGAATTGACTGCCATAAATCAGTGCCCGAATATGTCGAGCTTCTCTACTTAGCTGGCCCCTGGGGGGGTGGGGGCTCTCGTACATATTTATGGCCTGGACCAGCTGCGGTCCAGAGCCTTGACCTTTTTTTGGTTTTCGTGATGTGCTACCAAAGTGGACCTTCCAGGCACTCTACGCCGTGTGGTTAAGGAGGCTGATGGCCCGAACATTAAGCACATAAAAACCAATCAAATGGAAGAGAGAAAAGCGTTGCTGTGGAGACCACCTGCCCAGCCCCCTTCTGTCCCCCACTGTCACCGTCTCAGAGTCTGACTCTGACTCAGACTCAGACTCTGACTCTCTGCTCGGCAGTCACCCAAAAATAGTCACAATAAAATGCCAACTGCCAATAAACGTCAATAAATCAAACAATTGAGCGCGCGGCCAAGTTTTTCTGATGGCGTGCGCCAAATAAGTCCCAATGTCCACTGTCACCCCCCTCCGGCCACCTTCCCACTCCCCCTGCCATCATAGTGGTCCCCAAAACAGGCGAACAAAAGCAAGTCCCCTCAGCGGATTGGCCTGGAGCCGTGCGGAGCATTCATTGAAGCAAACAAAGAGAATCAAGAACATGGACATGGAGCTCGCGACATCAGGTCATCAGGATGGGGGGCAGGGTAGCAGGTAACAGCAGCAGCAGCAGCAGCAGCAATTGGAGACTGGGGAGCTGTACAATATTGTATGGTGAATGTGGCCGCTGCTCAGATTGGAGCTGGATATTAGGAATGAAGCGACAAGCAACCATCTGTGATTAGCGGATTGCCTCACTTCCAGCAGTTATCGTTTGTAGTAGGTCACTGGAAATGGTGTCACAATCGCTATAGAAATTCTAGCTCCAGATATAAACAGAAAGTCATCACAAGTAAGCAATAAATCATCCTGATTCTTGACCCATGAAGCAGCAGCAGATTATGTACACCCAGATCTTATGTACATTTCGATTTTGAAGAACTTTTATCAGTCACTGAATTGCCTGCAGGTTGCAGATTTTGGCAGTGCGTAAAGATTTCAATTTCGTTCGTTATGTAAATGTTATGCTGGCTGGCACTATGTTAATTAGTGGCGAAGCTATAGCAGAGCAGCCATGTTGCTAACATTACAGGCTAATAACAGCCTGAAAGAATCTACATATGTTAGCGCCTGTTACAGCTACATGTTAAGAGCCTGTCATCGCTTCAGATTAACAGCCTGCTACCGCTACACGTTAAGAGAATGTTATTGCTGCAGATTAACAGCCTGCTATTGCTACATGTTAAGAGCCTCTTACCCCTCCAGGTTACTGCTTGTCGTTAACAGCATGTTAACGCTTTCCGTAACAGAGCACTGTTGCCGCTGCCCGTAACAGCGCACTGGCTCTCAAATCGTTTGGCATCAAATCTCGATTAATCCCGCAACAACTGCCCATTTGAAGAGTTGGAAATCATTTAAAACATGTAAACACTAGTTAACATTAAAGCTCAAAACAAAAATTTTGTTCTACAAATGGCCGCAGACTGATAAAATTTGACAAATGATTACAATTTTGACTTGGATTTGACATATTTTCATAATCTCATGCGCGAAGCTTCCGAAATGTGAGCGGATGAGGAACGTTTCGTACTTAAAATTTGGATTTTGTGGGATTTGTGTTTGAATATTTCATGAAACAATTAACTGATGGAAATGCAGGGAGAGTGCATGCAGGCGGTGATTGCTGCTGCTGATCCCGCTTTCCCCCAGCGGCTCGGGGGACATTGTTTATAAAGTGTAAATAGCTTTGACGTTAGAGCCCTGCTGGGCCATCCTGTCACTGTTCAGCAGATATTGCAGCACATAGCCGTCAACAGTGGGCAGACCGTAGCGCAGTTGGCGTCCAATCTCAAGGATGCCTTCCTCATTGGTTCCGTCAGAGGTCCACAAGGCGATCTTGTCGGTGTTCTGGCGAATGTTGACCACAGCGCCGCACAAATCGGGGCTGTGATCATATAACTCGCCAATCAGTGAGAGCAGCGAGTACTCCCAGTAGAAGTTGAGCTCCGTGGTGGCGCTCTTGGGGAAGCTGGCGATCCAGCAGCCACCCTTGACATTCGCCGCGTCCTCCCACATGGGGCGAATGCTGGTCTTGAACATGCAATAGTCGCAGCCAATGTTGATCTCCGATGGCCGCTTGATGTGATAGTAGAGACTCCAGAAGGTTTCGACGGTTTTGAAGCTTGTTATCCGGTGGAGTGTCTCCTCCCAGGTCTTGTTGCGATGGGGCTGCACATACCACATGGTCCATTCGTTGTTCAACGGATGTTGTGTCACCGACTCGTCCTCGTCCTCCTTCTCCTCGTCCTCGTTCTGCACGTTCCTCTCCTCGCCAGAGCTGTCACCAGCAGCTTCATTCTGGGAAAGAAGTGAAACTGAAGTTTGGCTGCGCTTCAGCAAGGGCGACTTCATCGGATCCAACTTCTTGGACAGAGCCTTCCTTGAGCGCTTGTCTTTGGATTTGGCCTTCCTGGGGGGTACACATGTGGGGCACGCCACCAGAATCGATCTCCGCTTGGGACACAGGCGAACATCCCTCGCGGCGGGACCTTTGGGGCACTGTGGCTCATCCGCGGCTGTCTTCTTGGATGGATATTCCATTGGTAATCGAGAGGGCCTCTTCGAGGGGGATCCTTCCTTACTGTCAATGGACTTCTTGTTCTCGGATGTTCCAGGACACGCGGCGGCATCAGTGCCAGAAGTTCGGGGCACAATATGTGCCAGAGGTGGCGAATATTTTTTTTCCTCACTGCGAATCATTTGATTGGGCTGCTTGGGGGCTGCCGTTAGGGCCTCCGCGACAATGGGACGCTTCTCCGGGGTTGCCTCTGGCGCAGTTTTGATACAATTCTGGATCAAGTTTGCTGGCTGGCCTGCGCCTTTTGCGGGATTCTTTTGGGCAGAAGATTTCATCTTTTGCGCATCCTTGCCTCCGTTGTTTCGCTTCTTCGAAGACTTGACATGAACATTCCAACCATCCTGCGGCGACAGGCGTGGCCTATCCACGGCAACGCGACGCACTGGGGGCTTGACCACTTCGACGGGACCCCGCTTCAAAGGGATACTTGGGATCAACTGAGACTGAGGTCTCTTTGGCGTAGGACATCCGGGTACTACACATGTCTTCATGCAATCTTCTGTAGGTGAATCATTTTCCTTCGATGGAGTCGTCTTCGGCGAAGACTTGCGCTCAGAGCCTCCGGGTCTTGATAAAACTGATGAGAGGGGATAAATCTTCTTCTGTGAGGAGTTCAAAACGGACGATCCTTGCTCAACGGAGCCTTGAGATTTGTCAAAAATGCATGTTTTGGCGGCATTTGTGGACTCTGTAGCGACTTCAGGAGACTGCTTCAATGGGGAAGAAGTCGCGGAGAAACACGAAACGGCGGCTTTGGGCTGTGGACCAGCCTCTGCAATCTTCTTCGATGGTGACGAGTCATTGGAATTGGCCAAGACGAGCGATCCTTCGCCTTCAGCGTCTTGAGATTTGCTTAAAGCTGATGTATTGGAGGCATCTGGAGACTTCTTGGGACTGCCATCAGCAATCTGATTCGGTGTGGATTCAGGAGACTGCTTCAATGGCGAAGAAGTCGCGGAGAAACACGAAACGGCGGCTTTGGGCTGTGGACCAGCCTCTGCAATCTTCTTCGATGGTGACGAGTCATTGGAAGTGGCCAAGACGAGCGATCCTTCGCCTTCAGGGTCTTGAGATTTGCTTAAAGCTGATGTATTGGCCTTGGGCTTCTGCAAACAGGTCGGTTCCTGCCCTACAACGGAATCTATCTGCTGCTTCAGTGGCATCGAATACTGCAAGTAATTTTCAATCTTTGGCAGTGGCTGAGTTTTCCATGTGCCACTCCTAGCGAGGATTCCCTTCAGCGGGGCTGTGGGGATTGACCCAACTGTGTATTGCTGCTTTGGTGAGGCACAAAGGGGGTCATCACCACCGGGCCCCACTGTGAACACATCAAGGTGTGTGCTGTCTTTTCTGTCAAACTGGTATGATTTTTGTTTATGTGATGTGTTCTGTGTGGCATCGCCTGCGGATCCGTGTGCGAAATATTCCTGAGTCGAGACCTCATCCAACGATTGGATGGCGGCAGCTGCCTCCGTTTCTGCCTCTTTCTGTTTCCCTAAATCTTTTTTCTTGTACGATCTGTTCATCTTAGGTGGGCGCTGAGCGAGGGGCCCTTTGGTTGGGCTATTCGAATTCTCTGGCAGGAATAGAGGCAAAGAAAGAGGCGAATATTAGGATTTAGAATTGGCTTTGTGCCAAAAGGTCGAGGGGTATTTCAGAGTACCGCAAACTGGGGGATAGGACACGCACTGGCAGTTGGGACTGGCCCTTACCTTGAGTGAATAGCACTACTGCAATGACCGTTGATTCTGCTTGTAGAATCAAGTAATTCGCTTTAGGAATTTCTATATATTTTCACACGCGTGGCAGGTTTTTCGATCTAACTATGCATACAATTCGAGCACTGATACTGCTCCCGTCTCCATAGATGTTTCTCGGTGAAGCTACACTTTTATACTGAATGAAATACAGGAGAGACGTCATAGCCAGAACGACATCTAACGATGAGGATACATTGATCCACAAAAAAACAAAAAGACATTTCTGTGCCGTAGATGTATTTTCCAGAGAGCTAATGAACCTTAAAAATGGATACTCGTTACTCGTTGCTAGTTACTCGTTACTTTTTATCGTTTCTAGCTGTGTGGGAGTTGAATGGCCCTAAAGGCATTGCATGCATCGGAAATGCCACCAATTCGTTACTCTTTACTCGCTATTTCGTACTCGTTACTAATAAAACCTACGGATAATGGTAATAAATATTGCTTATAAATAAAAATCAAAAATTATAATCAATATTACGTACTGCTAACGCTGCCCGCTCTTTACTCGTTACTCTTGACTCGCTACTAATGAGACAATCACGCATCCTGCTCTCTTCGCCGGACATGCCTGAGCACCCAAGTGAGAGCTCCTCTCGCCCGATCTCCCACTCTTCCGCCTGGAACGGAACGTGAGTGAAATTTTGCTCAAGTTCGCCTTAGAGTTGTGGGGGCAGAAGACCCCTTCGCACGAACAAGTTCCACTCGAGCTGCAAGCTGACCAGGCCTCGACCCAAGGAACGTGTGCCAGAACTTGGACAGAACTACGAGAACAAATATTTACACACACTCGGACTCGAGTGGAGGCGACACCACACCATACCACCCCCGTACCCCCGTACTCCCGTACTACCGTGCCCCAGGACCCTTACCCACAGCTGATGTAGGAACAGGGCAACACATCACGCATTTCTTATTAGCCTGCACTTTGGGGCGGTACGAACGAGTGGACCAAGTTGCGCTCGAAACTTATTACGGTTCGAATGAAACGGAACCGAAATGTCGGGCAGAGGAAGGCAGGAAGTCGATGCTGAAGATACCCTTACTGCAGCATTAAGGAATGTCCTGCCATGACTCGAATGACTGCTACATTTTGATATTGGGTAGCCAATGAACCAAGGGAAACTGCTGAAGGGTTAAGAGTAAGGGCAGCATACTGGATCCTTTGTAGAAACTATTGTGTCACAAACAGTCTGCCTTTTTGTTGGCCATATACCCAATGCCTAGGCAAGTGCATTAAGAGCCCAAAACTTTAACTAATGGCAACATTTTTTTATTTGTTCGTGTCGAATGCTATTGAGCCAGAACCGGAGCACCGCCAAAGCAAAAGAGCAAACTTTCATTTGGCTCCGGCTGTCATAAGTTTAAATGGGGTTCGGGTTTAGGTCCCTGTCCATTCAGATGGAATGGGTTGGGCTGGCTGTTGGCTGTTCGCTGTTGGCTGTTGGGTGTTTGTTTGGTGTTCAAATTGGAATCGCCAGAATGAATGAAAAATATCAAATTGCGAGCCAGAGTCGCTGGCTGCTTAGGATAAAGCGTAGCATATATCTGACCAGGTCATTGTGGCATCTCTTGGCCATCTCTCCTTTGACTTGGGCATATCTATATCTCTGCCAGCAAATCCACACACTTAACACTTAACGTGGCTATAAAGAGCAGAGAGACAGACAGACAGAAAGAGAGAGAGAGAGGTTCGAGGGTCGCTTGTGCCAGGACACGAGTATAACAAATGCTAAAACATTGCATAATGGTCGTGTAGAGAGCGGAGAGCAGACGACGCAAAGGAGCAGCTTGTGCCAGATTTGCCTTTTTAAAAAGCGCTCAGGGGCAGACCTCCACCCCACCCTCGAACCCCTTGTACTTATATTCTCGGCACATTTACAAATGCGCTTTTAACTTAAATGACAGTCCAGGGGGAAACAAGACAGAAGACAGCACGGGTGGGGTGGTGGCCTCAAAGCTGAAACAGAAACAGAAACAGAAACAGAAGCAACGTCCCCCTGCTCCACTTCACTGGCATCTTGGCTGCCACTGAGAAAAACGCATTGCAATTTTTTACACCCCCCTGCACTACACCCCCCGTTGGTAGTACAGCCATTTGATGTAAATATTGTATTAGTCGGGGCCAAAGTGTTGAGTAAATTTATTGGCAGCCCATAAATCGCTCGCCCTTTCGCCCTCTCCCAGTCTCCCGTTTTTTTTTTTTGCTGGTTTGAAGTTTCTCTGTGGGCTGCTCTCTGGTAGATTCTGCTGCTGCTCGTTGCTCCTTGGGATTGTGAATGAAAAATTAGGCACTTGAAAGGTAAATGTATGCCGGAAGGAGTTGGCATTTCTCAGGTACTCCGCATGAATCGTTTTGCCCTCTCTTCACTCCCATTTCAATTCAAAGTTTTCATTTTTGGGATCACCAAACAAACAGCAACAAATAACAAAGGAACAACAAAAAATACAAAACTGATGAGAATGCAAAAATGTTGTTACTGTTGCCCAGAGCCTGCTCTCTCACCGCCGGACCATGTCCCGTTTCTGCAGCCATGCCAATTTTAATTAACAAAAAACATGGCAAACTCCGTGTTGCCTTCTGTACTCAACATTGTGCGTGCGTGTGTGTGTGTGTGTGTGTGTGTGTGTGTTCAGGTTCTGCACTGTTCTGTTCTGTTTTGTTTAGTTTAGGTAGTTTTGTTTTGTTAGTTTGAACTTTGCTTCTTTTCAGTTGTATTTTTGGTGGCGGCGCATCAGTTTGGTGGAACTGCCGGTCAGTGTGGCGGCATGGGGAGTTGTGTGCTCCATTCAATTCAAGTGGAGTGCGCGAAAGCCGCTGCATACTTTCGGGCGTCCGCCAAAAGTGACTCGAATGTCAAAAATGTCCCAAAAACACTGTGAGCTGCTGCACATTGGCGCCACCAGGCGCCATCTCATCACTGGTCACCCATCAGTCGACTCTCGTTCTGCTGGGGGTACTGGGTGCACTGTCTGCCTGCCGCTGTGAATGCATTTGGTGACAGTTCTCTCTGATGCGGCGCCATTGTAGCTCTGGCTTTCGTTTCCGCTTCCGCTTCTAAGTCCATTTTCGTACGCAGCTTCGCTCTGTGCCTTTTGGCTTGTGCCCTTCGCGTGGCGTTGTTTTTTCCCCTTTTTGTCTTTCTGTTTTCTTGCATTTAGCATTTTGCATTTCTGGCTTTCGCTTTTATCTATTCTCTTTGTTTGCCGCTCAACTGCTGTTCAGCTATTTAAATATTTTCCTTAATCCCAATCCAAGCAACGCCCCAGCCCCAGCCCCAGCCACTCAACTGTGGCGTGCCCCCCGCTGGATTAGTGTTAAAACATTTAATTAAAAAATTGTCCCACTGCTCTCTTGCTTCAGCTGTGTCATCTGTGTTTTTGTTGCTGTTTGTTTGACACCAGAACGTGGGGGTGTCCCGCCTACCGCATTCCACTTTTCTGTAAGTTCTTGGGATTTACTGCACGAAATGTGCAATTGGAAAGAGTTTGAAGATGTAGATTCAAAATTCAAAATATGTCTTCCTGCTTGTAGTTCTCTCATTGTAGAAGGGTATTTGGTGTTTCGGTGGCCATGGCTAACATTTCTCTATGCTGCGCATAAATTGAATGGCAACACCACTTTGGCTTGTTTGCTCATATCATTAATTTGCCATTTGGTCAAATAATAATGAATATTTCCCCTCTCCATTTTTTGTTTGGTTTTGTTTTTCACGCGCTGCCCGTTGGTCGTTTGCTGTCTTTTTTTTTGTTGCTCCATATATGTACATATGTGTGTGTATGTATGCGTAGTACACGTATTTGTGTTTGTATCATATTTGCATTTGGCTTGTGGGAAGCATTGGAGCGAGCAATTTGCATGGAATATAGTTTTTGTTTTTAGTATGAAATGCAATTAATTAGAAGTGGATAATGTGTGCATTTGTCTCTGTGTGTGTGCCCATCTCTCTCTGTGTGTGTGTCCTGTGTGCGTGTGTACTTTTGCCTGCATGGAAATTAAATTAAATTAAATTAAATTCTATGTGCATTTTTAACGAGCTCTGGAATGTCACAAAAAGTAACGTGTCCTCGAGGACTTGAATACCTAACAAAAAAACACCAACACACACACAGAAAAGTCATTCATCCGGGCCATTCATCGAGCGAGCATTATGAAAGCGCATAATCAGGCCCTGACAAACGGCCGAATGGACAGCAGGACGAGTGGACAGGAGGACTGACGAAGCATCAATTAAAATTGCTAAATCATGTCAAATATTTTAAGAGTTGTTA